ACCCTCCCACTGCTCAAATGGCGCCGCTATTAGTAATTCCGTGGGTTTCACCCTGAAGGGCCTGAGACACAATGGGTACAGTTCAAGTTTGCTCCTCACCAGTTCTCTCATAGCACTTAACCAATAGCGTTCCCACCGTCACTTGATACCCTCCCACTGCTCAAATGGCGCCGCTATTAGTAATTCCGTGGGTTTCACCCTGAAGGGCCTGANTAACCAATAGCGTTCCCACCGTCACTTGATACCCTCCCACTGCTCAAATGGCGCCGCTATTAGTAATTCCGTGGGTTTCACCCTGAAGGGCCTGAACTGTAGTAAGGATTGCCTTGTTCTCACACTCATGAGCCGCTGTGGTTAGCTACCCTTTCACCCACACTGTCCCAACACCCTTGAGTTGTACCCATTGCGATCGCTTTATCATGAAGGTCCAAGGGTGCGTGGTGGGAAACCCGTCATGGCAGCTCAGGCTCGTTACATGGTGTTGGGACAGTGTGGGTGAAAGGGTAGCTAACCACAGCGGCTCATGAGTGTGAGAACAAGTTGTATGTGACGCGCAACCTCAGGCCCTGTGCTGCTTCCCATTCGGAGTGTCAAGGTTGCGGAAAGGAGGCCCCGGAAAACAGCAAGATGGGGTGTGCCAAGGATTTTTGGAAAATTGAGTGTGGGGACACAGACAGAACTGAAATCCCCCGTGTTGGTCTGATGAAGTGAGTGATCTGGCAGGTTTCGGCGCGCGCGCGGATTCGCGCCGCGGAGAAGTTTTGAATTCAATCCAAAAAGTACTGTCGGACTTCCCACCTGGCCACGGCTCTCCATTTGGAGTGGAAGGGAGCGGGCACGTGTTTAGTATCCCGTTTTCACACTAGTTCCCGACGTCGCACACTGCACAACTCTGAATCCGACGTGGATGGTCTCAATTGTGTGGCCCTTTCCTTGTGCTCGTCCTCGTTCCACGTTCGGTAATGGAACCCCTTCGACTGGTAGTGATCGAGATGTTGGCAATCACTGCACAAGGTGTTAGGCCAATGGGGTGCCACTGCCGACCACGGGATGACGATTAATTCGTTAAAGGGTAGTAGTAGCGAGTACGGCAGGAAGTGCGTATCCACAATGACAAACTCGGCGCCTACAAACCCTGAGAACCGATTTTTAGGAGGGAAGTAATACTGCCCACCGATCTTTGCGACACCTCCTCGTATGTCCCACTCAGAGATACGCGTCCTATCCTCGTTATACGGGAAGGGGCGGAGAGGGGATACGGGAGGCGGTCGCCTAGTCGAGTTGAACCCGTTAGTCCACATGGCAAACAATCAGGAATAATTTAACCAGTCATCGCGTTCATGTAATCAATCCTAACAATCTAGTCGGGAAAGCCAAACAGGAGGATCAAAGGGTTCGGAGAAGGAGAAAGAAAAGCTCAAGTGTGGCGAGACGCAGTCGCTATTTTGTACTTAGATCGTGCGTCGCATATGTAC